TAAATAAATTTTTACTTATAAAATATTAATTAAAATTAATTATTAATAAAGTGTCAGAGGAAAAGAGTTTGGATGCGACACTCCAAAACACAGGCCTAATCCTCATTTTCTAAGATCGAAAAGCACCAAACTGCTTTCAAGCTTATCTCATCCCCTGTATTATATAATATAATATTATGCCACTAGCTGCTAATTGTAGTCATCATAACGACAACCCCAGGAAGGATGGGCCATTCCCACACAGTTTCAGAGAAGTTGGCGATACCAATGTACCATAACAGCACCGATTGCGAGTATGATCTCACCTCATATCCTCACCCTTTTTTTTATTTATTATATAATTAAGTTGTTCTAAAGTTAATTTATATTTTTTAATATTAATATATTTTTAAATAATTTTAAAACTGTACTCTTATATTAACCAATGACTTTAAAAAAAATTAAATTTTCTTACACATTAACCTAAAATTTGAATATCAAACCTAAACTATAATGTGCTCACTTCTCTGATTCCCAACTATTTAATATTGCTTTCACGCAATGGACAACGTTTCTTTACTAATTTCTTCTTTTTTAATTAAGTTTCTTTACTACCTTTTAATCTTTTATTATTAAAAAATTATTATACAATCTAATATATAAAAGGCAGCTTTTAATATTAGAAAGTTTTTTCATCTAACCTTTCCATTTTATTACTTATATATTATTTGACTGTCTATATTATTTTAAACAATAAAATAGCTCAATACCAAATAATCCTACAATCTAAAGGTTCGTGTGTTACCGTTAATACTCAAACCCATTTTCGGCTAGTAATTCTATACAGTTTTAGACTGGCAAAACAATGGGTAAATCCACCGTTAAAAAACCAATGCGTAAAAAACCAATGATAAATTAGTGTAAGCGAAAAGAATTGGATTTTAATAAAATATTAAGTTTGAATATTATAAATAAAAAAATAAATATTAAAAAAAATTTTCAAATCAAATTCAACGTGATTAGATTTTGAATGAATGAGTCTCAAGATACGTAATTAATAAAAAAATATTCTACCGCTAAAAAGGTCGAGAAATTTGGTGGCACTAACCCATCAAGCAGATGCAGAAGCGCCTCCAAATTATGCGTGCATACAGGATCGCCCGTATCTTTCAAGAACGGAGAGTTCTTATGGTCCAACGCGAGCTCCACCCCCACGTGCGAGTAGCTCCACGGCAGCCCTTCCGCCAGCTTCATCACCACCGTCGGCCTCTGCTCGTTGAACAACAATCCCGGTGATTTCGGTACAATGTCGTGCACGTTCACCACTCTCAACACCTTCATCCCCAGCGCCTCAATCCGTTCCTTCAACCGAACGTTCCCCACGCGCGGACCGGAAAACGAGAACACGCACACGGGCACCGCCCGGCTGTCTTTCATCACGTTGATACCCGTCTCGGCGATGTCGTACGCGCTCAGAATCGCCAACGCGCTTCCCAGGCTGTGCCCGGTGATGCTGATGCTGAGTTCCTCGTTTGGGAACATTTCCAGCAACCGTTTCACTTCCGTCAAGATTTGTTCACGCGCCGAGAACTTGCAGAACCGGCAGGTCTCGTCCTTATCGGTGTAGAGGTCTAGAAACCCGGATTCGGCTTTTACGGTCTGATCCGGGCAGGGGATTTTATTAGACGAAACGGGTTTTAAAAAATCCATTAGATCGACAATCCACTCTAGTCGAGTCACCGTGCCCCTCCACGCAATTATGATGTCGCGGCGGCCCAACCGCCTTGTCATCTCGTCGTTGGAAACCGCGACATAGCCTATCCAGTTCGCGTTTTTGCTCCAGACCTTCGGCCACCGCGATTTTTTGAAAAAATTTGGGAGGTTAATATTGGAAGTTGCGAAGAGGTATCTGGAGACGTGGTACCCATGGTGGTTCATGCCAAGGCGGTCGAAGAATTGATGCCGGAGATATCTACAGCTGCCACAGTACTTTGAGAAAGGATCGAAATCGAATGCGTCGTAACAAGCTTGAGCCATTTCACCGTACCGGATCAATTCGGAACGGAGCAGAGGATCCATAGGATCTAACATCCCGACCCAATCATCTTGGCCGTGGATTTCCCTCCATACATCCACCAGCCGCCTCTCTTCCTTTTTGGCAAAATCTTCTTGATCATCAATCACTGCATCTCTTTTCTGGAGCTCGCCTATGATGGAAGACATGGGTTCAGATAAGACTCTGCAGGGGAGTACTCTCTGAGGTCTTGTTGCGAAGTCTACAGCACTTGTGGTGACATGGAGTTGGGATTTTCGGGATGGAAATGGTATTACGGGGCATGTTTCCGGTTGGGGAATCCGTTGGGACGGGACCTTGAGAGGGAAAAGGGCTCCGGACGCAGAGATGGAAGTCATTGATAACTGAAATAATGAATTGCAGGAAGCAGTTAAGGTGATGAAAAGGACAAGGACGAGAGTTAAAAACTTATAATATCGTATGGTGTATGTGGAGTCTTGGAATTTGCGTGGGGGACGGAGGCGGTGGCGTGTTGCATGATAAGTACTTAATGCACGTGCTAGTTGAGGAGGACGAACCCGGGTTCCACCTAGCTTCCATGAAAGTTCAATTGAGCCCCTAATCTAGAGGGTGTAGATATCGCTGACCACCAGTTTGTTAACGCCAACTAATTTTATTTAATTTAATTATTAAAAATAATTAATATTTTTTTATAATTTTTTAAATATAAAATTTAAGTATAAATTTAATCATTTATATGAATAATAATTAAAAAGATTTTATTAAATATTTTATTTAATAAAAAATTATTTATTTAATCAATTAAATTTTTATTTAAATTTTTTATTTAAAAAATTAAAAAATAAATTATATTTATAAAAAATAAATTAAGAAGATAATTATAAAATAATTAATATTTATTATTTAATAAGTTAAAATTAATTTATAAATTAATATTATTATACATTATAATTAGTTATTTAAAAATTATAAATTAATAAAATATTAATTACATTAAATAATTTTTACATAAATTTAATAAAATATTAAGTAATTATAACTCCGCCCTAATGGAGAACCATCTACAACAAAATTCAGAAAGGAGGACCATTTCGAGAGATAACTAAAAGTTGGTCAAAAGGTGGGATTGCATTGTACGCAGTTTTTCCCCTTTATTTTGAGTTGGATAATGAATGGGTAGGGACCGCAAAAGAGCTGCATTACCCTATTCAACCTCAAGTTGGGCTTCTTGACTCAGGCCGTGGGAAGATTAATACTTCTTTGAGTTACTAGATTTTGAGCTGAAATTTTATAAAATTTTTATTTAATTAATAATTTTATTTTTTAAAAAAATTACAAGTGAAAAAGAGAACAAACATGAGATCTTATATAATTATATTAGTGTAATATATATACTTATAAGTTTAAATACCTTTTATATCTATTAATAAATTTCTTTGACTTAAAAAAATAATCTTGCAAGTAGGTCGGGAGGTACTTGAACTCGTTTGAGCTTTGGAGCTCGAGCTCGTTGCTTTAGCTTTAAACTTTTGGTATTATATTAAACTACTTGACGCATTCAGAACGCTAACAAAGATGCATGCGCACCTGCCATTGCGGACTAACTGGCCAATATCAGTTTTGAAAGTGTATTTTTACTAACATAATATTAGTTTAAATCTTTTATTTTTTTTAATTTACACTGCTTAAAAAAATAAAATAAAATAAAGAGGCATGTGTCTTCTATTTTTGTAGGCAAAACCATATGTTAAGTCCCTGAGCTAACTCCAGAATCGCTATTAAGCCCTCAGACTTTAATTGAAGCATTTAAGCCCCTGAACTATGCAATAGAAGCAATTTAGCCCTTACTCTCACAGCCAAGTTAATTGCCGTTAACTGCGGTTTGGGGGACTGCCTTTAACTGCGGTTTGGGGGACTGCCTTGTGTGGCGAAATTGGCCATCTCACTTCCACGTGGCAAGAGACTTGACATTTGATTTGTCCACTTGGATGAAAAAAAAATATTTAGGAATAATTTTTTTATATTATTTTATATGTCATTTAAATATTTTTTTTTATTAATAGATTTGACAAACTTATGTCTTAAGGTACAAGTTAAAAATATAATAAATATATTTTTATAATAAATTTGGGTTAAAAATAAAAATTAACTTTTAATTTTTCAATTATTCAATTAAATTTATTCATTTAGCATCAAAACTAAAATTAATATCAATTTTAATTTTTTTATAAATACTTTTAATATGTACTTTAGGGACACAGATTAAAAAAAATTATTTATTTAGGACATGTGATATTAAAAATATTTATTTATTTAATAATATGTAAAAATTATATAAAAAAAATCCCTATATCACCCCAAAAAAAGAGAAAGAAAAAAAAAATAAAAGGAAGCCTCAAGTAATATAGGAACCACTTTTTTTTTTCTTTTTCTATTTTTTAATATAGAGACAATTGTTTTATATAAATTTTTTATACAACTTTCATATATTATTAAATAAATAAATGCAATTAATATCATATATCTCAAATAAATAAAAGATTTTTCTAACATTTATCGTTAGAGCACATATTAAAAATATTTTTTTATCATAAACATATATAAAAAAATAAAAATTAATATTAATTTTAGTTTTGATGCTAAATAAATAAATTTAATTGAATAGTTAAAAAATTAAAGGTTAATTTTTATTTTTAACCCAAATTTATTCTAAAAATATATTTATTGTATTTTTAACTTGTACCCTGAAAACATAAATTTGATAAATCTATGATTAAAAAAAATTAATTATTTAAATAATATAAAATTGTATAAAAAATAATATAAAAAATTATTCCTAAATAATTTTCTTTTTTTTTTTCATCCAAGTGAACAAATCAAATGTCAAGTCCTTTGCCACTTGTGAGTGAGATGACCAATTTCGCCACACGAGGTAGTTCCCAAAAACCGCAATTAATGGCAATTAACAGCAGTTAAGTTGGGTATGAGAGTAAGGGTTAAATTGCTTCCATTGCAGGGTTCAGGGCCTCATACGCTTCAATTAAAGTCTGGGGGTTTAATAACGATTCTGGGTTAGTTCAGGGGCTTCACTTATGGTTTTGCCATTTTTGTAACTACCCAATTTACAGATTTGAACTAAAGACTTCTTTTTTTACTAAAAACTTCTTGTTTCTTTTTAAAGCAATTGTATGAATATTTCTTGATAATTCTTCACAGTTTCCTTTGACATTTCTTTCATTTAAGTTCAGTTTCCATGCCTTTATTTAAATTTTTTAAAATGTTCTTACTAACTCCCACTTGTCTCAAACCTGAATGGCGAGGAAAAACTTCCACCTTCCCTCTTTTTGTCCTCACTTTGTTTTTTTTTTCTCATATGCCTTTTTCATGAAAATGAATCACTATAGTTTCTTTTATACTTGGGGGTATTAATCAATTATCAATTATTTTATAAAAATTTAATTAAAAAAAAAGTTGATAGGTCTAGGTCAGATTTTAAAATCCCAACTTTTTTTTTTAAGTCATATTTTTTTACTTCACGTCTCCAACCGTGTTATATTTTCGTTGACTTTTCTAAGTAGCTGTACAGGGCTCATCCATGCTTACGTTGTCAATTGCAAACGACTTGACTAAACAAACGACAAATTAGAATGAAGGTAGAAAAGATTAGCATCCAAGAGAGTTTCGTACAGAATAGGGATATAAGTTTTAAAAATTTTTAATTAAAAATACGATTTTAAATAAGATTATTAATTTAAAAAAATTTTAATTAAACTATGATTATACACATTCATTTATTTATAAGAATGTGTCTTATTTATACAAAATCTCACATCTAAGATGAACAAAAAAGAGATTAGGGGGTGATTTGAAACACTTTTAAGATAATGGACGTCGAAGAATGAAACTGGTTTCTATTGTTGTCGGGTGGGAAAGAAAACTAAGGTGTATCTTTCGAGATCTCCGTGCAGAGTGTATTTATGATTTTCTTATATTTTTTATTTCATAAAAAATTAAATCCAGTTGTCTAACCATGAGATGATCATTTAAAAATAAATAAATGAATAAACAAACAAACAGAATGGAACATAAGGACGCGTTTGGATGGATAATAAAGTCTTGTAACTGTAATTGTAATTGTAATTGTGATTGTCTTAAATTATGTTTTGTTGTAATTATATCGAAAAATTATTTTAATGTTTAGTTATTTATTTTTTTAAAATATTATGAATAAAATATAATAAATTTTATTAATTATTAATTAAAATTTTAAAAAAATATAAAAAAATATAATTATTAAAATAGATAATATTTATTATTTTTTAATAATTGAGGTTTTTAAAATTTGTTATTATTATTAAAATATTATAAATTATGATATAATTAAATTATAAGAAATTAGGTTTTAATGAGTAATTTTGTAATTATATTAAATATTAATTGTTCTTTGTAAAAGTCACAATCAGAAAGCTAAAAAATGAGGTTTTTTACTTTATATATAAAATTATCATAGATTTATTGTGGTTTTTTGTAACTTGTAGAAAAACTAATTTAAAAAAATATTACCAAACACACATATATCTTAAAGTATTATACAGTTACACAAAAAAATTCTCAATCACAATTCCAAACGTATTTTAAGTCATGAACCTTGATGATAAGCATGAGAGGGATTAAAAAATCGTAATTTAATTGGTAAGAAATTTTTATTTTATTTTATTAATTAAAATTAAAATTTTAAAAATAATAATAATAAATTAAAATTTATAAACTTTTAATTAAATTAAAAAGAAATTAATTTCAAAGACCTTAACTGTCAAAATGAAAAAAAAAAACGACGGAAAGGAAGTCAAAATAAAAATAGGGGGGGTGAGTTTCCATATATGCTACTGTTGATTTTTTTTAAATTTTAAATTGTATAATAAAAAAAATTATTTTTAATTAATTAATTTAAATATCATGTAATTTAAATTTAAAATATTTAATTTCTATTAAAAAAGTTATCATTAAACTAATTAAATTATTAACTGCTATTGCTGACTTAGTAGTAATTAGTATTTTAGAGGTTTTTACGTTTTTTTTTTTTTTTTTGTTGAAGTTGTTTCCTGCTGGATTAATTTTTTTAATGGTGATTTAACACATTAATTAGTCAAGTTATATCATGTGTGAGATTAGATTTTTTTCGAGGCTTTATGGTTGACATCCGCTCAATTATTCCTCTCTTCTATTTGTAAAGTAATATTTTAACTTTGAAGAGGTAATATTTAAATAATTTAACTGTACTTTTTTAATAAAAATAAATTTTTTTATATGATTTAGTTATATAATATATGAATAGGGTAATTTATGAAATAAAAAAACTTATCTCCTATTAAAAAAAACAACACACACTTTTAAGAGACATTAGTTTAAGGTTGCATTTGGGTTGGGAATATAAAGTTAAGAGTTAGAGTGTGTTAA